TTGCAAGTCACCTGGGACAGTCCATTTCTCCGCTCTCCTCCCCTATGACTCTGTCATAGACCATGTTGATGGAAGGCCCTTGCTTGCTGAGATATTCACTCCATGCCTCTGGGCCATGCAAGGAGATCTCTGGGATCCCAGGGTCTCTCCTGATATGATGAACACTTCCTCTCCACCCCCTTCTTCCTCTCTCCCCTTTCTCTAAAGTCTCCCCTCCCTGCCCTTAAAAGTTTCCCCAGGGTTTTATTCTAACTTTTCTTCAACTCTCCACATACTCTCATCCACTTCACATATCTCAATGACCACTTGCTTATGAATGAGTCCCAAGGGGCTGTCTCTAGCTCTGCATGTGTTCACCCTCCCCCTTGGTGACCTCCAGACACCCCCAAATACAAACCCCAAGGCCACTTGCCTCCTGAGCATACCCTGCCCTCTCTTATTTCCAACTTCCAGAATCCTCAGCTCTCAAGACCTCCTTCAAAGATCCCCTACTTGGAATTAAGCCCTGAGTATCCCATAGCCCCCCACCCCCAGGATGCTCACAAACAGTTCATCCTGGCTACAGTCTAGAAAGCCAGCTATGCTGTGCACTCCTGTGGGAACACCTGCTTCGAGTCCACCTTACCCTCCCATCTGAAGCCCCACTGCCCCTGCAGGCCCCTGCAGCAGCAGCCATTCCCTCCCTTGGTCCTTCTGTTTCAGGCGCTGACAGTTCTGGGGAAAGGTTTGGGACCTCCATTGCCCTCCGCTCAGTGACCTGTCAGAGCTCAGACTCCTCTGAGCCTTTCTGACCCTGATTCTATTCCTGTCCTGTTACACCCCCAGGGGGGTACATGTTCAAAATCCACTTGGAAAGAATTTCCTTTTTTTTCTTCTAGGGAAGCACAAAACCAGATGCTTGCAAAGGCTAAACCAGTCCCCACAGCCTCTCTGCCTGGCATAGCTCCCCAGGGAGCTATTGGACCCAGGTGGCTCTGGGGGGGTAGGACCTTAGGGAAGCAGGGCCTGGCACTGCTCCTGCTGTCTGAGCTGGCCCACTTTCCTTCCCCCACCCTGCCCCTTGGGAAAAAAAGGCAACAACAAGAATGCTGAACAGAACCTGCCCACATTCTAAAATTACCCAGGTCTGGGGGTAATTAAGGGGAAACCACAGGATACATATGGAATCAAGAAGAAATCCAAGACACGGAGCCACACAGGTTGAGCTATCAGAGCCAGGAACTAGAGGTAAGGATGCACTGGAAGCATCTGCAAGCACCTCAGCTGTGACATTTCTGGACATTTCCTTCAGGGATTCACTATTCATGTATCTCCACTATACTGCTTGTGTCCACCTCTTTCTGTCCTGCCAAAAACAAGAGAAGGAAACTCAGATCCTTTTCCTGAGAGGGAATCAGATTGGTCCCGCTCATCATTTGAGCCAAGCTATAAGGTCACTGGTCAGCCTATGGATTGGCTAATTTTGGGTCAGGCTTAACAGCAGGAGCAGGCAGATGGGAGTGGGATGGGCCAAGTGGGACAACAGCCCACTGGGCACCAGCCTGTGAGGAGCAAGTCTTTTCCAGAGGGGGCAGGGCTGGTCAGATAAAGATTGACATCTCTGGGACACTGGGTCAGCTAAGCATGCAACAAGCAATGAGGAAACTGCTCGGTATCTAGATAAACCCTTGGGCATTAGTTTTCTCACTTGACAAGTTACAAGGCAAATGGGTTACTGGAATCGTCATGCTCTCTCTGCTTCATAATCTATTTGTCCTCTTTGCTGCTGCATCATGACTACTGGCTCCATATTTCAAGTAGTTGTTCAAAGCAGAGCAAGAAAAGGGTTGGCGGTAGCATCTACCTCCTTTTCTCAAGCTAGCAAAGCTTTCCCAGAAACATCCCTCTACCTCCACCTCCATTCAAGGATATATTGCCCAGAACTGGGTCACATGACCACCCTGTGCAGGAGCCTGGAAAAAAATCAGTGTGATTAGTCTAGATCAGGAGTCCAAAAATTCTACAGGCCAAATTCAGCCCACCGCCTGACTTGGGACAGCCTATGAACTAAGGATAGTGGAAAAAAGCTATATATATATATATATATATATTTCATAATATGTAAAAATTATATGAATTTACTGCATAATATCTCCAATTTTGCTGACTGACCACAAAGCCCAAATTTACTACCTTGCCCTTTATAGGAAAAGTCTGTCAACCCTTGTTTTAGGGCAAGTAGGATCACTGATTGCCTTCTGTTGGGCACACTGCTATCCTGAACCAAAATCAAAGTTCTGGCAGCAATAAACCACAGAGAATGGATATTGGGCAGGCAGCCTTCTATGTCTGTTATATCAACACATTCCAAGTCTAGATCCAATTAATTCATTTGAAAACAGTATAAACTAAGAACCTCCCCTTTCTTCAGGACCCTGGCACAAAGGGATTATTCTGGAAGTCCTCTTCCTTAAAAACATCTTCCACCAAATGTGTACTTTTTTGTTTGTTTTGTTTTGTTTTGTTTTGCACCAGGGGTTGAACCCAGGGGTACTTAACCATTGAACTGCATCCCCAGTCCTTTTTATTTTTTATTTTAAGGCAGGGCCTCACTAAGTTGCTGAAACCGGTCTTGAACTTGCAATCCTCCTGTCTCAGCCTCCCCAGTTGCTGGGATGAAGAGCATGTGCCATCATGTCCTGCTAAATGTGTAGAATTTTGAGAGACTTGTGAAAAGGAGAGGGGAACACAAGAAAATAACTGGCTGGCTGTGCTAAAATGCTCGCCTCAGAATTAGAGCTCCAGCAAGCAGTTATAGTGGCCAGTCTCAAATAAGCTAATACAGACTGCCTAACTCACTAGGAAGTGAAGTTTATAAGCCCAAGGTCAATGTGCCAATTTTTAACAATAAATGTAACTTAACTATCATATAAACCAATATCCCCGTGACAATAAATGACCTTAATGACAAACCAAATCATGGTCTGAAAGCCACTTGGTGAACTCAGAGGCAAAGCCAGAGAGTTAATGACCAGAACCCTTGGCCAGGGTTTTACCTCTTCTTCCATGATCCATCCCTCTCCATCCTCCTAACTGACCCAGGCTTCATTCCCAGCCTTTCATCTTGATCTGTGCGTTGAAGATCACTTTTCTTGTCTTTAATCTCAACCATTATAGTTCCATCTCAGAGTGGAACTCTCTAAAGATAGTCTTGAGGCTTTTATTTTCAAGTTCTTAGGGAGAATCTTATGGTCCCCCTAGTGGACAAGCCTATAAGTATTGAATGTCTGGGCCTTGTACAGATTAGGTACTTGATGTCCCCTCTCCCCAGCTGTGAACTGTACCTTATAGGTGGGGCCTAGGTAATTTCTGGAACCCTTCAACCAATCAGGATGCTTCAATCAGCAACAAATGGTGAGGTCAGGTGAAATCACTAAACAATGCATGCATTTGATATTTACAGAGCATCTATTATGTGGGGATCCATCAATGTATGAGGGATAAAAAACCCTCTGCTTTCCTGGTGTCCTCATTCTAGAACACACAAAAACAATAGGTAATAAACAACATCAACAAAATACACAGTAGTTAGATGGTGATAAGCAAGAAACAAATGGGAAGCATCAGGGTCAGAGAGATTACACTTTTAGATCTAGAACCCAGGAAGTCCTCAGCTAGAAGATGATAAAGCAGAGAGTCACACAAGTCCTTGGGGAGAAGCTTCCAGGTAGAAGGGATAACAGGGGCAAAATCCTGACTTAGGAGGGTATGAAGCACATTCAAAAATTAGCAAGGATGCCAGTTTCCATGGTAACACCCAACAGTCCAGGCAAGAGATGAAGATGCCTTTGTCAGAGAGATGGAGGTAAAGGTAATGGAAATAGGTAGATTCTGAAGAGATTCTCGAAGTGAAGCATTTCCCTGTGCCAAACCCATGCTCAGCACACCCTTCCCAAACTATCATCTAGACCTGCCTGCCTGCCTTATGAAGGAAGGCCCCTTAAAATCTCAGGTAAGATTTTTTTTTTAAATTAATGACACTTTCAACTTAAGGTGGAATCCTGACAATTCCTTTATAAGACCTTTTTCCTTAAAATACCAACAAAGAACAAATCCCATCATTATGTACAACTATAATGCACCAATAAAAAATGTGGAAAGAAAAAAAAACTAAATGAAATAAAAAAGCAAATAAAAAAGACCTAAAATAAGCATAAAAATTCAAAATGAGTCTTAAAAGTAAGGATATCAACCAACCATTTGCAAACAGTAGAGATTCCAGGTCTGAATAAGCTGAATTAAAAGGCTTGGGGCCCTTGCCAGAATTTTCCTCTTTGCATCAAAGGCATCATTGGCTAGGGGTAAAGAGAAGGCTTGATTCTGTCCAGTGCATAGTCCCCTGTGACTCACCCCTAATTCCAAAAAGTCTGCCCAATCATTAAACCTATGTCCACTGCCCCACTGCCCATAAACTGCTTTCTGAGTATCTGAGAACAAAGCCATGATTCTCCCATTCTCCTGAACCTCCTCAGGAACTTGCTACATCTAGCAAAGACTTCATGCCCACTGGCCTATCCATGTATGTGGGTCTGGGGGCAGAAAGAAAACTGGAAATCAGAGTAAGATACTGTCGTTTTCCAGGTGTTTCACCTGATGGAAGAAAAGTGGTTAGCAGCTCTGAACTTTTAGAATGAAGTTCTTCCTTTTCAGTCAAGAATTGGGCGGTGAAGGTAGAAGATGATCTTAACTGCATCTGGTGGAACAAAAAGAATGTTCACTGGCATCTGTTTCCCTCAGCTTGTTGGGTCTTAGTCAAAAGCATCCTCTAAGCCAGGCACAGTGGTGCATGCCTGTAATCCTCACAGCTCAGGAGGCTGAAGGAGGAGGATCAGAATTTGAAGCCAACCTCAGCAACTGAGCAAGCCCCTAAGCAACTCAGTGAGACCCTGTGTCTAAATAAAATACAAAATAGGGCTGGGGATGTGGCTCAGTGGTTGAGTGCCCCCAAGTTCAATCCCCAGTACTCAAAAAAAAAAAAAAAAAAAGAAAGAAAGAAAGAAAAAGAAAAAAAAAAGCATCTTCCAGGGGCCCAAATCCCTTGGTCTCTTCCTTCCAGGCCCCTTTGCTAAGGTTGAATCACACTTCACCCTGGGTTCCTTCCCAATCCATCAACCCATTGTTCATTCTATCACCAGTGCCCAAGAATAGCCCTCTTGGACTGGATGAAAGGTGTATCAGTCAGCTTTTTTTTTTCAATTTTTTTTTTTAGTTATAAAATACCTTTATTTTATTTATTCTTATGTGGTGCTGAGGATTGAACCCAGTGTCTCACACGTGCTAGACAAGCACTCTACCACTGAGCCACAACCCCAGCCACTCAATCAGCTTTCACTACAATAAAGCTGTGAAACAAGCTTCCCATAAATGCACAGATTACAACAGTAAGCATTTCTTTTCTTGCAAGCATTTACCTTTTTTGCTTGTAAATGTTTATAGATTCCAGTTTCAGTTCTAGGCTTCTATGGGCTCCCATCTCTTACCCTTTTTTCCATATTCTCCTTGAAACTTCAGCCCTCTGGGACATGCACTTCTCATGACGCATGGCAAGTACGCAAGAATTCAAAACTGTAACTACGTGTTAAAAGTTTCAGCGCCTATTGCATCATGTCTGTCTGCATTTCAATGGCCAAAGCAAATCACAAAGCTAACATAAAAGCCGGTACGGCAAGAAAATATACTCTGCTCCAAGGAAGAAAAGTATATGACTGAATATTTGCTGAATGATTCTCCACATGTATCACAATGGAAGTGAGTCTTGTGGCAGAACAAGCCCTCAACCTGTCCAGGAGCCCCCATGGTATAATTAATAATCAGCCCAGAGACATCCTGTGAGATCTGAACCCTACAACTGATGGGGGCCAGCCAGCTCTAAATGAAGGCAGGACCACAAGCAGGAAAATCTTGGGGACTCCAATACATCGTCAAACAAAATACAACTGCAGAATAGTAGTGTCGCATCCAGAGGGTGGCCATGTTCCTGGCAAGAAGTCTGAGAATCACATTGCTGTGTCTTCCTGAACCTCTTTTCCATAATGTATACTTCTCTGGCCCTAGGCTCCCTGGATTTGGCTACAGGGCATCTTCCTTGGTTTCTTTCAACTCAATCTTCTAGGAAACAACTAGGCCCCTGCAACTTCAGCCCAAGCCTCAACACTCCTTCCCCATCTGCTTCTGGCTGGGCCATGTTCAGGGTTGTGCAACTGCCTCTTATTACCTGTGGGATCTGAACCACAAGGATGCTGTGTAACAGCCAACCACAAAATCTCACTGTCAGGCTCACATGTCTGAGATCATCTGGGCTTGGCTAGGTTCACTCCTGGTCTAAGGGCTGGCCGGTTATTTGCTGATCTACACTAGCCCTGGCTAGGAAGACCAATGTGACTAAAGTGACTCAGCTCTGCTTCACATGTCTCTCATCCTCCATTAGCCCAAGCCAAGCATGTTGTCATGGTGACTACAGAGATGCAAGAGCACAAGTAGAATGCCCAAAGCCTATTGGTACTCATTCAATTCTACATCATTATCTTGGCTGAAGGTCACTGGGTCAAACTTGGATTCAAGGAGTGTGGGAATATAGACTCCACTTCTATATTCATTTTCTAAGGCTTCCATAAAAAAGTACCACAGATGGTGTGGCTTAAACAACAAAAATCTTCACAATTCTGCAGGCCAGGAGTCGTGGTGTCTTCTGAGGTCTCTCTCCTCGGCTTGTAAATGGCTGGTTTCTCCTCATTGTCTACCATGGATTTGCCTCTGTACAATTCTACATCCTAATCTCTTCTTTTAGGGACACCAGTCATACTGAATGAGAACCCATTCTAAACCTCATTTTAAATTAATTCCCTCTTTAAAGATCCTGTCTGCAAATACAGTCACATTCTGAGGTATTGTGGTTAGAACTTCAATTAATTTGAAGGCAGGGACACAATTTAACCCATAAGTACCTCCTTAGTGGGAGCAGATAGAAGGTCGCCTGGGAAAGCATACAGACATCAGAGAGAAGAACTGAGGTCCTTGCACCATCTACCTACCAGAAGTGGCAATACCGGTGTAGATTGTTCTCTGAACTACCACACTGCTCCAGTTTGGGTGACACACTCCTGTACCCTGGGACAAGGACTATTCCCTGCCAAGCCCCAGGTTTTTTATTTGTCATAGGGTCCAGATCATACCTGTTTAGTGTTTAAGAACCACAAGGAGGGACAAGAGCATTTAGTAAATGCTGCTTGCGGCAGCTGGCTGGCCCCCATCAGTTGTAGGGTTCGGATCCCAACAAAAAAGTAGAAAAATCTTAACAGATTTTCATAAGATAAATTAAAATGATAGTCACATATCTATTCCAAAACATACACACACACACACACTGCACTAGACCCAGTCAGTTCTACAAGTAAATTCTTAACTACAAGTTTCCTTAACTAAATTGAGTATCATTTAGGAATAAATGTGAGAAGTAGATATTCTCGAACATGAATGAATTCTTCTTCTTTTTTAAAAAGTACCTTTGACAAAGCTCAACCAGTGTAAATGTAGAAAGAAAAAACGCACAAATCCGAAACACAAAGGAGACATAACCATTCACAAAAAAGAATTCCATAAACAACTTTATGCCACCAAATGTTTAAACCAACATAAAAGGGCCAGTTTTCAATCACAGTCTCCAAAATTGGATCTCCAACAAAAAAGTAGAAAATCTTAACAGATTTTCATAATATAAATTAAAATGGTAGTCCTATATCTATTCCAAAACACACACACACAAATACACACACACACACACACACACACACACACACACACACATACTGCCCTAGACCCAGCCAGTTCTACAAGTAAATTCTTTAATCCTTTAGGAAACAGATAACTAACATTTTATACTTGCTTTCCCAATCTACATAATAAAAAGATATAATGCAACCCAAATTGTTTTTAAATCCCAAGAGAAAAAAAAAGGCCACTTGTGAGCATATATCATGACCAATGTTGTAGATTGTATTATTGTCAAAGCTTTTGCTGCACGTCCCTGCAGAAAGATAATATGCCTGCCTCCCTGGTTTGCCCAACAAAATTTAAATAGAAGTAACACCTGCCACTTCTGAGCAGAAACATTAAGCTTATCTGCTTTACCATGTTTCTTCAGCCTGGATCCTAGAATTAAGAAGATATGAAATCAATCCTCAATGTGCTTGTGACATGAGCAAGGAATTAACTTCTGTTGTAATTCAATAAGATTTGGGGGTTGCTTGTTACCAAAGCAGAACTTAATCTAAGCTGATTAATACAATATGGTAAAGAATAACTCCAAAATACAAAGAAATCATTAGAAATGTTAATAATGTAATTAACACACTAACGAATAAGAAAAAAATTCTATGATAATCTCAAGAGATGCAGAAAAGACATTTGATAAAATTTAATGTTATTTACAATAAAACAAATTAGATAACCTGATAAAACATACCTACCAGAAACCCAGATCAAACAGCATACTTATTAGAAACTTTATTTTTATTTTTTTAGATGTGGGCTACTGGTATCCTTCTCTTCATGGAGCTTTATAGTAAGATGTTTTATTGGGCAAGGAGTCTGACTCATCTCCAGGGAACAGACATATCTGTCAAGAAACTGACTTTTGACATTTTATAGCACAGAAAAGTGTCACAGGTTTTATTTGTGTCTGGGCTACCTGTCACAAGTAATGAGATCATGATTATCATAGTTGCCCCTTAATTTGGGAACTTATTAGAAACTTTAGAAGTATTCCCATGAAAGTTAGGAACAAGGCTGTGACCCCATGTCAATGTTTTATTCAACACTGTAATAATTATGTAATAGTTAACGCAATCATTATAGCAGTAGCAATAATTAATGTGGTAAGTGAAGGGGAAAAGAAGTAATCAGTATATGTCAGAAAAGAAAATGCCTATCAAAATTTGCAGATATGAATCTCTATCCAGAAAATGCAAGAAAACTGGCTGATTAAATAATTCAAACCAGAAAAGAGGTTAGCCAAGTTGAAATCATATCCAAAAACTAATAAATTTCCTATTCTCCATCAATGATTACTGATGAAGTGTTGCAAAGCCCAGCATGATGCCATACCTGCAATCCCAGCAACTAGGGAAGCTGAGACAGGAGGATCACAAGTTCAAGGCCAGCTTCAACAACTTATTAAGGCCCTAAGCAATTTAGGGAGACCCTGTCTCAAAATCAGAAATAAAAATGGTTGAGGACGTGGCTCAGTGGTGAAGTGCCCCTGGGTTCAATCCCCAGTACCAAAAAAGAAAAAAAAATCATTTTATTGTTGCAGAAGAGACCCACCCACAAGCTTGAGTGAGGATTCCAGGGCAGAGAGAAGACTTAGTAAAAGAATGGCACAGTTTATTAGAAGAGAAAAGGAAGAAAGAAAGGGGACATCCTTATGGGTGAGAATGGGTCCTTTCAGAGAGGAGAGTGACAATGACCCTCACCAAGTCAAGGATTTCTAAGGACTTCTGGGTCCCTCTGTTCTTGCCTCAATTTCTCATAACCACTTAATCTGTTCATTACCCTTTGGATAGCCCTCAGCAAATTTTCTTTGTAACAGTCTGATACATCCCAGTCACAAGAAGTGGTTAGGATGGTTGTGACATGGTTTCAGAGACAAGGGAGGGTCACCTGGCCACCTGGAAGGCTGTGACACAATAGTTTTTCTTAAGGGGATGTAATTACTACTTGAAATACCAGGCTCCCATCCCCCAGATGCTGTCTGATAAGGCTCCTGTGGTTTTCAGTGGCTTTCACTGTTCCTGCTCACCTGTTCATGGTTGACTAGCTACCTAACAATTAGGGGACATTTCAAATCAGTGGGGGAAGGGCAGACCATCCAATAAGTAATACTGAGTGAACCAGCCAAAGTCAAGGACTAAGCATAAACCTGGATCCCTACCTCCATAGCCACAAAAAGACTCTCAATAGATACAGAAAAGCTGCAGACTAGGTATAAATTGAGATTACCATCATCCCCTCTCTTTGGGTTTGATAATTAGCTAAAATGGCCCACATAACTAAGGGAAACACTTTATCCATTTATTATAAATTATACAGATGAACTTCCAGATGAAGAGATAAATAGGGAAAAGTATAAATCAGTACAGAGCTTCCATGACCCCTCTGGGTACACTACCCTTCCAGAACCTTTGTGTGTTCAGCAACTCAGAAGTTCATCAGATTTTTTATATGAAGTTCAAGAGTTTGTATAGAGCTTAACCTAGCTGCATCCCTTCCTTAAAGGTGAGTGGGTGGGACTCAAGTTCCAACCCTTGAATCTTTTAATCACTTGATCTTTCTGGTGACTAATCCCACCTTGAGAATATCGAAGGCCTTACCCTAGGTCACCTCATTAGCACAAATTCAGGTGTGATCATAAAGGAGCATTATAAATGATAATAACAAAAAGAAAACATTCCCAGAGCTCAGGAAATTCCAAGGGTTTTAGGAATTCAGAGACATGAACAGGAGACAAAGATCAGATCCCCAAAGTAGTCCCTTTACCCCACCCCCAGTCTGAGATTTCATTTTCCACTTTCAGTTACCCATGATCAACTTCAGTCTAAAACAATAAATGGTCAAATTTCACAAACAATAAGTGTTCGATTGTGCACTGTCCTGAGTCAAATGATGAAATCTCACACCACCCTGCTTTGTCCTGACCAGGACCCCCATCATTTCTTTGTCTGAAGTATCCATGCTACCTATACTATCCATTCATTAGTCGCTTATATCAACACTGCTTATACTCAAGTAATCCTAGTTCTGTTTGATAACAGCCCCAAAGCACAAGGGTGGTGATGCAAAGGCCACACATAAAACATTGGAAAGACAGATAAACTTTGGTACTATTTGGCAATGCTGCAGGGCTTTTGGCAGAAGCATACTATATATAGGGTTCAGTATGATCCATAGTTTCAGTCATCCCCTGAGGGTCTTGAAACATATACCCCATGGGTAAGAAGGACTGCCTTATTCCATAATACACCACAGAACCTAAGGAGACATAGTAACTAAATGTAATTTTATGGGGTTCTGGAACAAAAAGAAGGACATTTGGGGAAAAGTAAAAAATAAATATTAAAAAAAAATTCTCTCCTCTCTCTCTCTCTCTCTCTCTCTCTCTCTCTCTCTCTCTCTCAAAAAAAACCCCATATACTAAATTCTGGGTTATAAAACAAACTTGGACAAAGTTAATAAAATTGAAATCACAGTGTGTTCCCTGACCATAATGGAATCAAACTAGAAATCAATAACAGAAAGATAATGGGAAAAATCTCCAAACATTTGGAAACTAAAATGCACATTTCTAATAATCCATGAGTCACAGATAATACTCGAGGAAAATTTTTAACAACATTGAACTCTCTTCCACCAGGCAAGGACACACAGAGGGTACCATCTACCAAGCAGGGATCCGTCACCGAAATAATCTATCTGCTGGAACCTCCTGCCCTCCAGATCTCTGAAGGTAATTTCCCCAGTTCTTCTCTTTACAAGGGCACCAGAAACTCCCAGGTGCCAATAATTAGAGAGAAACACAAAGCCAGGATGGTGATTTTGAATCTGTCATAAGGCCCCTCAAAGATCAAATCTGTGTAGAATTAGGGGCAAGGGCTCAAAAGCCCTCAAGGACACAAGACTTGAGGCCCCAACTCCAGACTCCAGGCACAGAACAGACCTGAAACTGAGCTCTCTGCAGAGGTGGGCAGCCAGGAAAGGCTGTTCTGCCTGTGAAGCAGGTCAGGGAAAAGTCCTGCCCCTGGGGTGAGGCCAGGGACAGAAAAGGGGTCACCGAGAAAAATCTAAGCCTGAAGCCTCTGCTCCAAGTGGCTCAAGGTACAAACATGTACTGTCTTCAAGGTGAAAAAAGTCAAAGCCAAAATAATAAAAAGCCTCATACAGACCCAGTGAAACCCAGAGGGCCTTGGCAGAGCCATACAGAAATGCCCAGCAAGGACCCTTCACCAATCAGCCACAGAGAATTCCCACAATAAGCAAGTGAGAGTAAACTCCCCGTCAAAAATGAGAGGAAAAAAAAAAGTCTCTGAGAGTTCCCGGTGCAGTGGTGCATGCCTGTAATCCTAGAGGCTCAGGAGGCTGAGGCAGGAGGATCACAAGTTCAAAGCCAGGTTCTGCAATGGTGAGGCCCTTAGCAATTCAGTGAGACCCTGTCCCTAAATAACATACAAAATAGGGCTGGGGTGTGGTTCAGTGGTTGAGTGCCCCAGAGTTTATTCTCCAGTTAAAAAAAAAAAAAAAGAAAAAGAAAGAAGAAAGAAAAAGTCTCCAAGAGCCAGCTGATCCAAGAAAAAAATACAGCAAAACAGAAAACCAGCCACTAGAGGAGACGGAGCAATATGAAAGTACATTTAAAATCTTACCTAGAGAGACCAACCAGGGAAAAGGGCAATGAGAGATGTGGAAAAGCATCCAGAAGGTGGCGCAGAGAGAAAGGAGAATACAGGAAAGAGAATTTAAGAAATATGAAAAATGGAATGAGAAACTTCAGCATGTGCCAGGTAAAAACTTCAAGAGAAAGTGGAGACAGGACAAGAGAGAAGCAATGTTTTAAAAGGCAACTTTCCTAGACATGGATCCTAAGACTGAAAATTCTGATGAATCTTAACTGGAATAAACACAATGAAATTGACATTTAGACACACTGACCTTAAACTTTGTTGAATCACAGTTAATAAGCAAATCTTCAAATATGCTGAGAATCAGAAGCGGAAGGATCAGAGTGGGGAAATAGATGATGGAAGAAAGGAAAAATAACTCCATTGACGTGGGTTTGTCATCAGTGGACTTTTTATTAGAAATAATAAAAAATAACAGGAGGGGAGAATTAAGCATTAAGGAAAACAAAGCTCAGTGGCAGATTCTTCTCAATAGCTACAGTCCTCAGACATATCTGGAATAGCTATTAAATTGTTCCTTCTCTGTATCATGTCTCTAGACAAGATTTTGTCCTTTCTGTCTAGACAGGAGAATTTGAAGTAAGCCCAGTGAGAACAGAGTTTCCGTTAGAAGGTGAACCAGCAACATAATAAAGTCACATCATGGTGTTGCTCAAAAAAAAAAAAAATTGAACTAAGTGAAAATGAAAATATAACAGATCAAAATTTGTGGGACGCAGCTTAAGCAGTGCTGAGAGGGAAAACTATGACACTAAAAGCTCACATTAGAAAAGAGGAAAGATCTCAAATCAATAATCTGAGCTCCTGTCTATGTAACGAGAAAAATGAATTAAGCCCAAAGTAGTAGTAGGCAGGGAATATTAAAAACAAGTAAAAATCAATGACATTTGAAACAATACAGGTAAATCAATGAAACGAAAAGCTGATTATTTGGGGGAAAAAAATCAGTTGGTTAACCTCTAGCACAGACCAAAAAAAGACACAAATTACCAATATCAGAAATGAAATATCACTGCAGGTCCCGAGAACATCAAAACTTATGGGATAAAGTCAAGGTTGTGATCAGAGGAAAATTTATAGCTTTGAACAAATATGTTAGCCCATCACTGTGGCACACAGATAATTTGAGAGGCTGAGGCAGGAGGATCACAAGTTCAAAGTCAGCCTCAGCAATTTAGTGAGGCCCTAAGCAATTTAGTGAGGCCCTAAGCAATTTAGTGAGACCCTATCTCAAAATAATAAATAAATAAATGACTGATGTAGAGTACCCTAGGTTCAATTCCCAGTACCAAACAAAACAAAACACACGTTAGAAGAAAAGCTAAAATTCATAAGTATCCATCTCAAAAAGAAGAGAACATGAAGCCTCAAGAAAGCAAAAGAAGAAAAAAAAGGATTAGATTAGAAGTTAATTTAAAAGTACAAAAGAGGATCACAAAGCTCAAATTTCTTTCTTTTAATATAAAATTTTCCAGTGAGCTTGATATTTAAAAAAGATTAGCCAGGCATAGTAGTGCATGCCTGTAATCCCAGCAATTTGGGAGACTGAGACAGGAGGATTGCCAAGTCTGAGGCCAGCCTCAGCAACTTAGTGAGGCCCTAAGCAATTTAGGGAACTCCTGTCTCAAAAAAGGACTAGGGATGCAGCTCAATAATAAAGCACACCTGTTTTCAATCCCCAGTGCAAAAAAAAAAAAAAAAAAAAGATTGATGGTCAATGTCAGGACATCATTATGATATGTGGGCATAAATCAAGAATAAAAAGATATTTTGAAATATAAGGCAATACACTTGAAAACCTAGTAAAATGAAAAAAAATTAATTTTAAAATACATCTTACAAATCTCTTGTAAAATAAAAATAAAAATACAGATAGATAATCCTACAACGAAGAAATAAATTAAACCTGCAACTTAAAACTTTCCAAGACTGGATGGCTTCATCTGTGAATGTCATCAAACATTGAAGGATGCAATAACACCAATTTTAAACTCTTCCTGAGACCAGAAAAAGAAGGAATACTTCTGAATTCATTTTACAAGCCCAGAAAAACCTTGATTCTAAAACCAGACAAGGACATTACAAGAAAGAATGGGGAACAACTGAAACCTGGCAGACCGTACGACCACTTGGGAAAACTGTGCACCTTACTGGCTGAAGATGAAGTGACTCTCAGAGCCATCAGATCCATTTCAGACACACATCAATCAAAACGTGTTCGAATGGGCACCCCAGGAACAAGCATGCCTAAGAGCCACAAACTAAAAACCACCCAAATGTTCAACAAAAATAGATTTGGTAAAACTGGAGGGTGTTGTTCTGTGGCAGAGTACTTGAGGAACATTCAGGAGACCCTGGGTTTGATCCCCGGAACCACTAATAACAACAACAACAGATTGGCTAAGAAAATGATATGTATAAAAATGTATAAAATTCAATCACATACAACATGGATGAATTTCATGAGTAATCTGCACAAAAGAAGCCAACCACATCCTGAGTAGTCCCCATTTGGAAAGTTCAAGGCAAGCAAACAAATCAGAAATGATAATGTTAGAAGTCAGGTTCTTTGGGGAGGGGAGAGGAATTTGTGTTTGGGAAGTGTGATAGCTTGAGTGCATCACCTCCAAGTTCATATGTTGGAACCTTAGCACCTCAAAGCCAAAGTACTGGTGGTGGAGCCTAGTGGGAGGTGTTTGGGCCAGAGGAAGGGTCCTCATGAACAGATGAACGCCTCTTGTGTGAGTTCTGGTTCTCATGAGAGTTATGATAAAACAAGTCCACCCCTCATGTTCTCCCTCTTTCACACACAACGGCTTCCCCTTTTGCCACAAGTTAAAGCAGCAGGAGGTCCTCACCCTAAGTCAAGCAAATGACAGTCCTTGGACTTCTCATCCTCCAGAACCATAAATCAAAATAAATTTATCTTCCTTTAAATTATCCAGGCTCAGGCGTTCTGTTGTGTAACAACAGAAATGAACTAAGACAAGAAGGTTCATGAAAGGGGCTTTGGTAGTGCTGGCAATGCTTTATGTCTTCTCCTGGCTGGTGGCACAGAACTGTGCAAGGCACCTGATAACTCATTCACCATATATTCATATTTTGAGTAATCTCTGTGAAGTCAGTTTATCATACACTGGTTACCAATTTGTCAAAATCTGGTGGGATGGAACACCGTTTGTATAAAGTAGCTTTGTCACTTACAGATAGCACCAAATGACAACAAAAGCCTAAGATTCATTGCAAACTGGTTCCCCAAGACTTAGGAAAGCTGCTCAGGACAGATAGTATCGGATCACTAGGAGAAATACTATGCACTCTGCATATTACACTTCAGTATAAAGAGTTGAAGAAAAAAGGAGAAAGGATTGTTATAGAAAAAGAGAGACTTAAAAACTATGGTTCCTAATAAAACAGCTCTCTGATGATTCAGAGATGATTTCCATGCCTCTCAGACATTGCTAAACTGCTTTTATTCAATTGTAGGATGTAAAAGTTTGATGGTGAAGAATTTGTTGCAATATATTAACTGGCCAAAAACATAAAATGACAAGTTTAGGGAAACAGAAATGGCAACAAATTGTCCAAAAATTTATGCCTGGAATATGGCATGATCTGTGAAATGGATTGATCTGGGTCATTGCACTGTCCCAGAACCCCTTAAATGAAGGAAAAGGCTGATTGTGCTTGGCTAAGATCCCTCCTATGACATCACAAGTTTTCTTTTGTAAACATTTTCTTTCCACAAAAGTACCTGTGTATCAAAATGAATTTCTAGTTGGAAAAATAAAAAAGAACAGCAGTTACAGTAGGAGCTATGCAGGTTGAAAGTTGATGGACCTTTGACCCAAATCTGCCTTGTAATAGCCCAAGAGATCTGAACCCTTTCAAGCTTAGTTCACCAATTCCTTCATGAATTGCTGGAGTAGAAATGCTTGGTCAAGTTCACCTCTTTGGTTCCCTGATTCATGGAATGAAGGCCACTGTGGTAAGAGAAGCCACAAAGAAGCCCCTATCAGAAAATCCAAGGTAGGAGCTGCTGCCAACATTG